TAAAGAGCTGTTTTAATAAACTCCCCCTTTAGAAACCCTTAGGGGGGAAAATTAAGCTGCCCCGACCCCCATCAAAACCCTCCCCCACTTTAAAAAATGGGCCCAAGGTTTTTCAAAAATTCTTTGGAATCCCCTCCTGAAAGGGCCCCATCCCATTGACTCTTAAAGTGAGCATATCATCAAGCCTAAAAAAATTAAAAGGGGAAAAACCCCCAAATTTAAATTGCCAGTTGGGGGGGTCCTGTGCCCCCCCCCCGGGAATATCGGGGTGCTTTGGTTTACGTTTCCAAAACCCATCGAAGTGTACCTACCCCCTAAACGTAGGTTTTTACAAATCCCCAGCACTAGGGCCCATTTTTTGCAGTAGACTTTTGGAATACTACAATTCTTGGTGTGGTTAAGTTGCTGGGAAACATTCCACTAGGAATGCACAGGGGGGGGCCCTTGACGGGCCAAAAAATTTAAGTTTTTAAAAACTGTAAAAAAGTTGGGGTTACATTTTCCCCCAAAAGGGATTTGCAGTCAGAACCCAAACAACCTTCGATGTAAACCTAAATAAAGCCCCCTTTTAATGGTAACTGAGGAGGGGTGTTCCCAACCCCAGCCAGATCTGAGATGAACCCCTGCAAAGTGTGCAAGAACCCCCAAAACCCCAAAAACAAAGGATTCGGGGGGGTACCAGAATGCCATCCACCCCACCAGCGGGGAGGAGCTAGCCATCCCCGCCCAGCACATATTTGGGAAAAAGGTCTGCCACACAGATACCTATGGGTAAAAACCCGAAAATGGGGATGAGTTTGTCATTTCTCCCCAATACACACAACTACCCAAAATTTAACGGGGGCACCACACAGGTAACCTCCCTGGAAATTGGGGAGGGGTCAGAGCACAGGACCCTTTCCCTTTTAATGAATGATTTAAACAGAGAAAAACCCAATGTAACCATGGTACCTGTTAAGGTGATAGGTGTTAAGAAAGCACTAAACCCCGAAGTGCCCTCCTCCGGAGAGGCATTGGTTTTGCCTGAAACCCTTTCCTTTTATTATAACAACTTTCCAAAAAAAATTGGCATCTTTAAAAAGATCCTGGGGGGGGCAATTTAATAAATATATGTAATCAGGATGATGCTCCCTTTAGGGATGGTGATGATTCAAAAGGGCAGCAATCTCCGTTCAGGCTTCCCGCAATTTTTTAGAAAGAAGCCCATAACTCTTGCCCTTTAAAAATTGCCTTTTCACTGGCTGCCAAAAAAGCCGAAAAAAAAGCTTAAAAAAAAAAGGTCCATGAAGATAAAGGGGTAAAAAACTATCAAATTTGGGTCTTAAGTATCTGCACACTGTAAAACAAAACAAAAATAGTTTTCCCTTTTTATAGCAAGAGATTGTAATAAAAATCACTACCCAAAGGATACATTTTCAAATCTTTTCATGGAAAAATTGCTTTCCCTTTAGGAAGCGGTTGCCTGCTTACATTCAAAATTGGCAACCAAGAATATTGTTGTCATTGTTTGCAGGAATGTAAAATTGGAAAAAATGGAGGAAACCCCCACCAAAATTTTCCTGGGTATTCAGCTTATAAACCAAGGCAACCCCAATGTTGTGTGATGATGTCAAAAAAAGAACTTGCCAATTCATTTCCCTTTTCCCTTTCCCGAGTCGAAATTAACAGGGAGTATCATGGTGTCAAAATATATGAGGCGATTTTTTTCCCTAAAAAATTTTAATCTCCCCATGCCCCAGCGAACCACTCGCCTGATGCTTTCCAGATCGCAAACAATAGTGGAAAACCAAAACCCTCATTCTTTGGGGGATTTAATGCCAGACAAAAAAATATTGGTTTGGGGCCCATAAAAACACCCAAAGGAACTAAATAGTTTAGAAATTTCTAAATGAGCATGATAATGGCGAATTGTGGGCAAAAAAATAGCCTACTCACATAATTTGGGATACTTGATCTGTGTTTTTTGGTTTAATACATTTTATACATGAAGGGCTCTCATATTTTATGATTTTTCATTGAAACACTTCCCAAAATAACAAAATGTCAATCTTTTTACATCTCCGCAACAAGGGGCTAAAAACAGAAAGGAAACTTATTTCCCAAAACCCGAACAGAGACCCAAATTTATTTAAACCCCCTTGGAAACAAGGGTTTTAAAGAATTACGACCCATTTTGGGACACAAAAATTTAATGATGATTTAATTAAACCCCATAGAAATGTTCTCACAGATCAAATGGGGCAGGAAAAAGGAAACAAAAAACCCCCACTATAAAAAACAATAAAAACCAATGTAAATACTATAATGACCACAGCTGCGCAAAACTAAAAACATGCCGTAGGAGGGAAATTTGGGAAAATATACCGTGAAAATTTTGAACCCCAGACCCGCTCAGAAAGGTTCCCAAACTGCACTAAAAAAATGCAAAGGAAAAAGGGAAAGGGGAAAAAACTTAGGGAACAGGGAAAGGGAAAAAAGTTTGTTAGTGGAAATTTAAAAAGGTCCACCCCTTTGGGTTTGGGTTGGGGAAAAGGGATAAATAAAATAACCGGAAAAAAAACTGGCAATTTTTTTGCTCACCCCCTTTTCCCCTTTTAAAAAGCAAAATGGGCCTCTTTAAATGAATGGTCCAAAACACCAGGCAGGGAAACCCTTTCCATCTCATTTTAGAAAAAATTTAGAGAGTACTTCTGAAGAAAAGTTGAAACGATTAATTTTATGAGCCCCAAAAAATTGATGAGAGGGGATTGCCCCCTTTACCGAGTTGAATTAGGAAAAAATGCATTTAACCCAAAGGGCGATCAACTGCTCCTGGAGAGGATGGTTAACCTATGATATTCTCCCAAAAACCCTAAGGCACGTCCCTTGATAACCCTTTGTTGGCACTGTAAAAATCCAGTTACATTGAGGGCGTTTTTTCCCTCTTCCTGGACCAATAGTCTCATTGGGGTTTCCCCCCAAAGCCCCAACAGCCTTATCCATTTGGGCCCGATCTCCAAATGTTGTCTTTGAAAAAACTTTTAAAAGGAATAAAGCTTAACAGACTTTTAATAAAAAATCAGAGAAATTTTCCCCCCTCCCTCTAGGGGTTTTCATGAAAGGAAAAAAAGTTTTCCCAGAACTGTATTTCCCCCTTTCTCACTGCAAAACCCCCTCTCCCAAATTTTTTTAAACCATTTTTTCTTGTTTCTAAAATCTGCTTTTAAATATTGCGAACAAAACCCGTTATACTACATGAACTAGCCAAAATGAATATTGGGGGTAGCTTACTCTGCGGGAAATAATAGGTTCCCTGTCAAATAGAGTATCCTCGTCCTTTCCCCAAGGCTTCAGAAGTGATTCAAAAGGGAAAATGTCTTTAGGAAACACCGAAATGGGGGGGAGTTCTTAGTCCCATCCCTTATTTAAAAACCCCGATTAGGCTCCCCCAAATGCTCTACCTCCTCACCAAAACATATACTAAAAAGCTAGGGGCTGATGAAAATCATGATCCAACAACGGGGCAAAAGAAATAAATTTCCCAAATTTTTAAAATGAAGTTCAAGAAATTTTGTAATCGACTGGGCCCTCTTTAATTTTTCCTCTAAAACTAAGTTTTAAAACAACAAACGAATCCCCCCCCCATCTATTTGCAGGGGGGAAATCTTAAAGGAAAACTTTAAAAATTTCCCAGATATTTTGGGTGTGATTTTCCCCTTTAACAAATCCACTATCCACAGCAAAACCCAAGAAATGTAAAGCTAGGAAAAAGCTCTAAAAGCTGTTTTGGCTAAAATTTCCCAACTTTGGTGAAAATTTGGGGAAAAATTCGTGAGAATGTTTGTAATAGCCAAATTTTAGGTCCTTAATTGTTTAAAAGCGCCTCATTTTGATATTAGCTAGGAAATTTTCCCCTCCCGCCCCTTTGGGAGTTAAGCAAAATGAGCTCCGGGTTTAAATTTTTGGGCTTTTTCCCAGATTTTACAAAAGTTTTAACAGAGGAAGGGGGTTGGAAATTTCTAGTATCATGATAGGATTGTTGAAATTAAAACCTGTACCCCGGAAAATTAGAATTTGAAAAAAGAACCAGAC